AAAAAAAAAAAAAAAAAGAAAAAGAAAAGAGGACACAAACAAATGGAAAAACTTTCCATGTTCATGGATAGGAAGAATGAATATCATGAAAATATCCATACTGCACAAAGTAATTTATAGATTCAATGCTATCCCCATCAAGCTACCATTGACTTCCTTCACAGAATTAGAAAAAACTACTTTAAATTTCATATGGAACCAAAGAAGAGCCCACAAAGCCAAGACAATCTTAAGCAAAAAGAACAAAGCTGGAGGCATCATGCTACCTGACTTCAAACTACACTACAAGCCTACAGTAATCAAAACAGCATGGTACTGGTACCAAAACAGATATATAGACCAATGGAACAGAACAGAAGCCACAGAATTAATGCCACACATCTACAACCATCAGATATTTGACAAACCTGACAAAAACAAGCAATGGGGAAAGGATTCCCTATTTAGTAAATGGTGTTGGGAAAACTGGCTAGCCATACGGCAGAAAACTGAAACTGGACCCCTTCTTTACACCTTACACAAAAAATAACTCAAGATGGATTAAAGACTTAAACATTAAGACCTAAAACCATAAAACCCCTACTAGAAGAAAACCTAGGCAGTACCATTCAGGACAAAGGCATGGGCAAAGACTTCATGACTAAAACATCAAAAGCAATGGCAACAAAAATCAAAATTGATAAATGGGAACTAATTAAACTAAAGAGCTTCTGCACAGCAAAAGAAACTATTATCAGAGTGAACAGTCAGCCTACAGAATGGGAGAAAATTTTTGCAATCTATCCATCTGGATATTACAAAGGGCTAATATCCAGAATCTACAAGGAACTTAAACAAATTTACAAGAGGAAAATACATCAAAAAGTGGGCAAAGGATATGAACAGACACTTCTCAAAGAAAGAAGACATTTGTGCTTCCATTTCTTGAGAGGTGAGTGACCAAGATTTGGAAAAGAGGTGAGTGTCTGTTGGAGCTCAGCCATATGTGGCCCCAGCGCTGGTTCACTGAAGCAGCTGGCCAGGGCTGCAGTGTGAGGTAGAGGGGTGTCTGTGAGTGGTGCTGCAAAGAGGGGAGATGAGGGGTCTGGGTTCCTGCTTCCAGGTAACGTGACTTTGGATAAGCGATTCAGAGCAGCCCGTCTCCCATGGTGCCTCTGCCATCCTGCTGCCCCCCCAAAGGCAGCTGCCATCTCCCCTCTGAGCACAAAAGAGGTTCTCAGAACAGCCAGAGCCCCAGGGCTATAAGGCCTCCAGCCAGATAGAGCTTGACCTCGCCTTGTGTCCATTAGGTCAAAGTGAGGCAAGACCCGGGCTCCAGCCTCCTGTCCTTCCCCTGCTGCCCTTCCCTCCTACTCCGAGGGGCACACTCCCTCTCCCCTATCCCCTCTCCCTGATTACAAGTGCTACAAAATTTCCTTGAATAACACCGGACAAGGTACTGCCAGAGATGAATTGGACCCTGAGCAGAGCCCCAGGCTCTCCCCCCAACCCCAGCCCAGACCTGGAGAAGGGAGGGTCTTGTTCCCCAGGCCCCAGGTAGACGGAGATTCTGGAGCTGCCTCGGGGAATCCTCTTAGTGGAGGCTCAGGTAACATCCCCTGTGATGTCTCGAGTAATATCACCTCCAGCAGTGGCTACAGCGAATATCCCCAGGACAGGGCTTCAGAAGCAGCTGCAACCTCCACTGGTTTCAGACACCTGGTACTGTGTGTGCACAGGAGGTGACAGAGGCAGTAGAGCAGAGGGGCTGAGTGGCTCGAGGGATCCTACCTGGCCTCAAGTCACAGCTTTGTCACTTACCAGCTGCCTACCTGGGCAAGTTACTTAACTGCCCTGTGCCTCGATTTCCCCACTAATAAAATGGAGATAAGAATTACCCTAGTTGTGAGGATTAAAGGAGTTAGTATCTATAAGTGTCTAGACAAGTTCCTGGCAAGCTATGCTCTATGGCAGATTTTTTGTTGTTGTGTTATTGTGTACTTTGAAAAATCCTCCTCCTGCCCCTTCTTATACGTGGGGTTGGTACACATGGCAGACCAGGCATCTGACCACTTAACTTCTGGGTGTATGGACGGTTCTCGCTGTCAGTTCTTCAGGTCTGGGGCTCTTGCTGCTTTACTTCTAGTGTCCTGGCTACTAACAGCCTCATAGAAAACCTAGATCCCATGTCTTGGGGCCCGAAGGTTGGGTGGACTGATCCACGCAAGTCCCGGCGTCTCCAGCAGGGGGCGACCGACACCGCGCTGTGCAGGTGCGCAGTAGCTCTTGGGCACACTGAGGGATGCAGGGAGCGCTGCAGGTGAACCTGTGGGCGCGCTGCTTCCCCAGCTCCGTTTCCCAGGTCCCCCGTCCGCCCCGCTTCCGGGAGGTGGAGCCTCCTGCTGTACCTAGCCCAGCCTGTTTCCCTTGGTTGTCGGTAAGATAGGCGTGGTCACCTCTGGCCCTGAGGCTTTCCCCCGGCCGGTGGCCCTAGCTACCGAGATCTTCACCCCATAAACCCCTTTCATCCTCGCGTCCACAGAGGGTTTCCAAGTCCAGGCTGCGACCTTCCTTACCCCCGCCCCAACAAAACAGCACACAGGAAAGAAAAAAAATCGCATTTTTATTGATTAATAAACTGGTTGGGGGAAGGGCAAGAATAAGACATGAGGGCAAATACCAGCTTTGATTAGTCAGAAACTTCTGTTATCTGTACAAAAAAAATGAATGTTACAAAAATCACGTAAAAAACTAGGATCAAGGAAGCAGCTGCCCTTAAGAGGGCTCAAGGCACCTGGGAGGCTGAGAAGAGGCCAGGCTGGCCATGGGCGTGGCGGCGGGAACAGCCCTTCCCTCCTGCCCCAGGGGCACCTTCCCCTCCCCTCTCCAGGGTTACAAGTGCTACAAAACTGCCTTGAATACCTCAGGCCAAGGCACTGCCAGAGATGAAATGGGCCCCAGGCTCCCCTCCCCCGCAGTCCAGGCCGGAAGAAGAGGGCCTCATTCCCCAGGCCGCAGGTGGGCACAGATTCCGGAGCCGCCTTGGGTAAGTCTTTAAAGGGAGGCCCAGGCTCCGCTCCCTGGGGAGGCAGCGGCGGCTGTGGGACCCCCCACACACAAAAACACACACACTAAGAGCCCTGGCTGTTGTCAGTCCTGAGTGTGGGCAGAGGGCCCACAGCCCTGTCCAGCCCCATGACGTGGACTGAGTGAGAGGTGCTGTCCCAGACGGTCCTTGCTGGAGCTGCCATCCCAGGTTGGGTCCTAACTGGGGTAGCACAAGCAGCAGCCCGTGCCCGCCACCTCCACACCGGACTTGGCACCTGGCCCCAGGAGCCCATCAGTGACGGAGTGCTCCCTGATGATGTCCTCCACCCGGGTGATGTACAGCAGCGTCAGCAGCACCCCCAGGAACTGAGAAGAAAGGACAGAGCTGGTGAGGGCCTCCCTACAGCTCCCGGCTCGCAGAAACACAAGCAGCCAGTCCCAAGCCCTCAGGGCTCTGTGTGACCTGGGCAACACCCACAGCAGAAACTTCCAGCACCCACACTGCCCAAGAAGCCCCTACGTGGGCCCCCTCTCCCCTTCCCAGGAAATCCCAGAGAGCCCAGCTGTGCTCATCAGCAAGAGGCCCTCCCCCCTGGTATTCCTGTCTCCACCCCAGCTCTGCCAGACTATCTAGGGGATCCTGGCAAGTCACTGAAGCTTGCCGATCCTCAGTTCCCTCCTCTGTGAAGTGGGCATTATAACAGTGCCTCCCTCACAGGGAGAAGTGGAGCAGCCGTGCCTCCGCGGCACTCGGAAAAGCTTCGCCACCACTGCTATTGCCATTCACCCCCTTCTTCCAGACATGCAGCCCCCTCCACTCCGGGCAAGCCCCGGACTCTATGAAAACAGCTTCTTCACCTCCCCCTCTGCACTTTCTCTGCCCTTCTGCAATCACCCAGCCACACTGTCTCTGAACCCATGGCCTGCCCACCTGGGGAAGCAGGATGCCCAGGAGGATGCCCGCCATGATGGTGTAGTTGTCCATGAACCAGATGAGCACGGCATTGGTGCAGCCCCGCACGTAGATGACATCCTGCACACTGAGGCGCTGCATGGGGAGGAGCGAGGTCAGCACAGCGGAGCAACTCGCCTGGCAGGAGTCACAGGTAACTGACTCTGCCATTTACTCCAGGTCTAGGCTAGTCCCTCAACCGCTCTGATCCTCAGTTTCCCATATACAGCATGAGAAGGTGGCCCTAGGTACTGGTTCTTAATGGACAGTACTGTTCTCTAGAGAGGGCTGGGGACAAATGGTGGCACTTTTGGTTGCCCCAGCAATCGAGGTTGGGGACTGAGGGACTGCTGAGCTCAGGGTAATCGTACTCCACAGACAACTGCCCTGCCTGATGCTTCTCAGAAGTCCCTGCATGAAAAGCCTTACAGATGTCGGCTGGGCACAGTGCCTCATGCCTGTAATCCTAGCACTTCAGGAGGCCGAGGTGGCTGGATCATGAGGTCAGGAGTTTGAAACCAGCTGGCCAACATAGTGAAACCCTGTCTCCACTAAAAATTAAAAAAAATGAGCTGGGCGAAGGGGCAGGTACCTGTAGTTCCAGCTACTTGGGAGGCTGAGGCTACAGAACAACTTGAACCAAAGAGGTTCTTCCTTTCTCTTTTCCTTCCCTTCCTGTTCTTCGATTTGCTCACTCCCTCCCTCTTTCTTTCCAGTTTTGCTCTTCTCTCCCATGCTGTTGTAAAGGAAAGAGAGAGGGAGTGATCTCAGCTAACTGTCACCTCCACCTGCTGGGTGCAAGGGGGAAAACGAAGGGAAAAAGGGGGGAAGGGAGGAAGAAAAGGCAAGAAGAGAAGGGAAAAGGAAGGGGAAAAGAAGGGAAGGGAAGAAAAAAGGGGAGAACGGAAGAAGGGAAGGGAGGAAGGCATGAGAAGAAGAGGAGAAGAGAAGGGAAGGGGAGAAAGGGAGAGGGGCAGGAAAAAAGGGAAGGG